ACTTTGAGAACACTATCATGTATGTAACGCCAACGTCCACCCTTGATTTTCTGCATTTTTCCAGACTTGGAATACTTTGAGGACACTATCATGTATGTAACGCCAACGTCCAAACCATCATTTTCTGTATTCTTATAGACTTTGAAAACTTTGAGGGTTACTGGCGCCACGATGAAACTTTCCTTGCCAAGATTTGCCTTGTGTTAGTTTGTTCCATAGTTCTGATTCCCGGATCTTTGCAGGACGTCTTCCTGAAGTCGCTCCTTTCTGGAACCCTTGATAAAGCCCTTCAAGATCCTTTGAAGATCCACTTGCCTTGCTTATAGTTCGAAGTCTGACAGAACCCGGAAAGAGAGCCAGCGGGCACCGGTCCCAGGTCCGTCGGAGCCACGAACGGAGCTCAGCCTTCGCTTGGAGGGTCGGGGGACGGAGTAAGCACAGGTTTTGGTAGAGTTCTAAGTGCCACAAAAAGAGAGCCCCATTGGGGTTACGGTCCTAAGAACTCTGTCAAACCACGACCCTCCAAGCGGGATGCTTAGCAAGCTCAAGGCTTTGAGTGCCAGGTTTGTGGTTCTAAGGGTTCAGAATGCAGGAGTTAAGGCTAGGGGCCGGCGTTTTTGGGGCTTCGGGTGCAGGGAGGGTTTGAGGCTCCGGGTTTAGGAATTAGGGAACGGTGTGTGAAGGTGTCTTGGGGTTCGGATTTGAGGTTTTCTGTTGGGCTTTAGAGATCAATAGGGGTTCTATGTAATCGTCGTCGCCGAAGTAGCAGCAGCAGCAGCAGCAGCAGCAGCAGCAGCAGCAGTAGCAGCAGCAGCAGGAGTAGTAGTAGTAGTAGTAGTAGTAGTAGTAGCAGTGGGAAACTTCGCGCGAGTATTACCAGGGTCCGCAATAGACGGACCCCGAAATAGCACGATAAGTGTCACGGAGAGGCAGCCAAGGACGGAAAAGGAAGCCAGTGACATTTGAAGGGGCCATGTCAATTTTAACAGACACACGCGTCCCAGCAAGTGAGCACCACCCCTGCTTTGCCCGAGCAAACAAGACTCCCCGCTTCCCCACTTACTTGAACTCTTTGGACCTCGTGACGAGCTGCAAGGGTTTCAAGAATTGAGCCCTTGAGCTCACCCAGAGCTCTGGTTGCCCGCAGCATTACGGCTCACTTTGGACTTGTCCGCGCTCCAGGTGCAGTCAGTGCCCGAGCCTTAAGTCTGGGCTTGAAAGCGCCAGAAATCAGACTGTGTAGGACACCGCTTGTTGGCGCACTCTGGCGACCGGTGTCGGCTGGACTGGTATTCGTTGAAGTGCGTCGGGTCAAGCATTTTCTGCGTGGGCCTCTTAGGAACCTGACGTTGTATACAGGTCCATCTCATGCTTCGTAGGCATCTCACTTCTCCCATAAGGCAGCATGGCGAAAGTCAAGGGCGGCGAGAAGAAGGTAGGGTTAGGCGCGCCTTGCTCGTGCGCCTCTGGCGCTGGCAGGCTGCAGCCGCTAAGTGTTGCGTTTCATAGGGGGTTTATAGGGCTTGGGTTTGATAGGGTTTCAAATGTGTTATAGGGTTTCATGGGGCTTTGTAGGGTTTCATAAGGTTTTTGTAAGGCACATAAGGCTTATAGGGTTTCCGTTGCTTCGGCCTTTGGCCCTTGGTCACAACGCTTAAATCCCCACGTTACAGACAGGACCAGAAAATTGGAACATGGGTGAATATATCCGTTTACTTCAAGCACATTAGGATCACGATGTTCCAACTTTCTGGCTTCTGCCTTAAAGCCTCGATAAACCCTCGAAGAAGCCTGAATGAGCCCCGTTTGCTTCCGTGAGGTGCGGCGTGTAACCCCAAACCCTAAACCCTACAAAATAGTAGGTTATGATCCCTTTACTATAAGATATATATATATATATGTATATATATATACACACATATGTATATGTACATATAAAACTATGCTCCCGCTATTCTAAGATAGATGATTATGACCCCTGCCTTATAAGAGATATAGGCACTCAAACAGCAGGGTGTTTTTGTTGCCCAGGCCCAAGGCCTTCGGGGCTTCGACATCCCTGCAAGTCTGCTCTTAAGGTGGAAGATCTGCCTATCAGGTCACCCCCAAAGATCCTATGATCCTATGTTGCATCTGCAGTCCTCGTAATAAGCATCCCAATAGCCCTGTGGCGACGTGCAGTATATTCCGTCTGAACAAACTTTCAGGAATCTTGAGTCGAGACGGAAAGGTTCCCCTAAACCTTAAACGCCCTAAACCCTGAAACTCTGCGGAAGGTGTGGAGTTTCACTTGTGTTGACCGATTCCGGGCTTTAGGATTCGGCGCTCGAGTGGCTTATAGGGCTTACAGGGTTAATAGAACTTTTTGTATGGGTGCATATGAAGCAACGAAATGACATGAACGCACTCCGCTGAAACCGACCCTACAAAACCCTACCAGTCCCAAGTAAGAAAGGACACACGCTTGCAGAAGCGCCGACTTGCCGATGCACGCCGCCTCCCTAAAGTGCGGGGTGGCTTCTGGCAGAGGGGTTGTTAGGATTTTTAGGGTTTATGGTTTGGGTTTTTTGGGGGTTTATTGTGTTTAGGGTTCAAAGGGTCCGAAGATGTCTCAGGGCGTCTTTTCAGACTCTCAAGCCCACACCCCCCTTGGCCCTAGATTTTCAACGGTGTGGTCGGCCAGTTCTGTTTTCTGTATTTACCACTTGAGGGTCCCTGGCTTGGGTGGATTTTTTCAAATTTCTTGCCTGTCTGAGAAAATCTCCGGTCGTGTAGATGTTGATTCTACCACAAACATCGGGTCTGTATAAAAGACTCGTATGATTGTGGAAAGAATGTGATGCGTTAATCGCTTCCCCCTATTACTAAACCCTCCCCTAATAATAAAACTCCCGGCCCCCGGAATTTCGCGGTTTCGGGCCCGCAATTGAAAGTTAATTAAAAACATTAGTGGGGGTCTAAGGATTGTATGAGTTTTAATAGAGCAGACTACAGTAGTACTAAACCAAAGGACTAGGGCTTTAGGGGTTAAGGGCTCAGCGCTTAAGATTTTAGGGTTTAAGGCTAGGGCTTAAGACTTTGGTGTTTAGGGCTTGGTAATCTCTAAAGTTTAAGGTTTAGGGTTTAAGGCTTTAGAGCCTAGGGGTTAAGGGCTTAAGGGCTTCANNNTTGGGGAGGTTGTTATTCGGGGCTGGCTGTCTACACTAGGGCTGCAGGGCTAATGAAGAGGTTTTGGCTAAAGTAATTGGGGGTTCAGGGCTTGGAGCTGCGTGGGAAGCGGTCGTGGTGTGTGACCCCGAAACCCCTCTAGTATTAAAACCAAACCCCAGGATCCGAGTCTTAATATTAGGGAGGGGTTAATATTAGGGTGAAGGGATTACATGCTTTCTGCAGCTCCAGTTAGGCGCGCAATTTTGTCTCCCAAGCCCTGTTTAAATGCTTTAGGGCGGTGGGTTTTTAAGTTCATCAGCAAGGTTCGAGGCCTTCTCTTTATAGCCACACGGGAAAAAGCCTAAACGACCTAATGCCCGATAATCACTACATGAACTCACCTTTGCCTCTCAAGGAGCGGCGCTCGCGAAAGCGGAGAAGTCCCGGCAGGTGGTCTTCAGGATGAGCATGCATGATCGATGTAGTGTACCACACTGGCACCAGTGCATCATAAGTTCGCGATCCAAACCTCATAAGTCCACCTCACGCGTCTTGCCGCAAGGTGCCACAGCTGCAGGCGGCACTCCAGGCCCCGCCCAACCATGATGTTACCTTTCAGCATCCCAAGCCCCGAAACTCAGAGGCGAATAGAAACTCTAGGCGACATCCTCGGTGAGCCTGATGAGTCAGATAGACCGGCAGGGCTTACGGGTTTGGAGGGGGTTTCGGCCGTGCTCTGCATGCACCCTATAAGCACAGGGAACCTGCTTATCTGTCTTCAGATGTCCACCTCTCTATCCATTTATCTTGATACAAATGCGTACGTGCAGACATGCAGATAGATAGACTCAGACTCAGTGATTCATCAAAAGTTGGCTAGACGAAAAGATACCCAGAACCGTGGAGCGAAATAAACTCAACATCCTCCAAGACCCGCAAGGATCCAAACCCTTCCCAAGCTCAGCACCCTTTGTTGTCTCGTCACTGGCCCACGAGGCAGCATTGGCGGGCATGACCGACTACAACTGCCACTTCTTCGACGCAAGGTCTGAAGTTAGGTTTTGTGTTTGGGGCTCTCCAAACCCAAAAAACCCGCGCGGACGTCGAAGAGTTGATGCATCGTGAAGCAAGGCGAAGCGCCTGCTAATCGGTCTGCTCATCAAGCGCGACGACCTGATCAAAGCTGAGGCCACGGCGAGCTCTATCAAGTTGCCGGAACAAGTTGGGACGGGGGAGGGGGGTGAAGTTTTGGAATTTGTCCGTCCGCCCCCTTCCCTCCAACCCGCCCCGACCCCAGTGTATGTCTATCGTATGTCGAAAAACTTTTGCTTGTTCCAGGCGCCTGGCCGAAGACCTAGGCAAACCAGGGTTTGGGGCCTGAGGTTTCTCCATTGAGTTTCTTCCGGTTAATGTGTCTTCTTCCATGTGCTCGTAGAGATCACAAACAGCATGTAGAATGACCTCGTCATGATGACGCGAACGCCAGGACTTCCGAGCAAAGCGAGGGGAGCTCAACCGCCAAATCCTCAAGGAAAAGGAGGCTGGGGGCAGTCAAAAGTCACTGCATGGGTAACCTGTCTTCGGGGTGAAATTCTCTGGATGGGCTCTGGATGACTCAGGGCCGTTTGCAGCCTTTGTTTTACTTGCCAAGCTGTCTGCAAGCTCGTTTGGACCGATGCACGCCGGCGGTGCAGGAGAAGGCGAAGATCCAAGAGGACGATGGGCTTCTGCTTGTGCAGCTGAGGGTGCTAACCTTTGGCCGTCAGTTGTGATTGCACAGGGGCAGAGTCAGACTGTCAAGCAGCCTGCCTGGCGGCATACAGTCAGAATCACAACGCGGCCTTGTTCAGGAGCTCTCCATCCTAACGGAGAAGCTGCAGAAGGTCAACGAAAATCTGGAGACGAAGATCCGCACGAGAAATGAGCATGAGAAGTTCATCCAGGACAGGCCGATCCGCCGACACCTTGCTGGCATTTTTGCCTTCAAGATATGCCTGTTAGCTCCAGAGCTCCAGAGCTGTTGCGACGAAAAGGTAGGCGATGCTGCAAGCTCCTTGTTCTTGGCATCGGCAGCACCCGTGTAGTTAGGGCTTTTTGCAAGGACATGGAAGCGGCTTACCCCGAGTCCGCTTGGGCCCTAAAGGGTCCTTTTTCGGTGATGGGCCGCTGTACTAGAAGGAAGCAATGGTCGTAGTTCGTCGCAGTGGTGGGGACGAGTGGCTCTTGACACGTTGCCTTCAGCTTCAGGTGTCACAAATCGGAGTGTATGGTCTCAGGGCATGTTGCTGCTAATGTAGCTTGGGTTTAAGTTTCGTGGCTTGCTTTGAGAGTTGAGGATATATATATATATATATACACATGGGAGATCACGAAAATAGGGGACCCCCAAAATGTAGGATTGCCTGATAATGATGACCCTAATAAGGTACCCGTACCCCTGCATGCGCAACAAGTCCCATAGACGGCTCACAATTCGAGCTGCAGATGGCGGGGCCCCTTTGGTCTTGGTGCGTACAACTTAGGGATGCGGACTTCATGACTTCTGGGCTTGGTGCACTGTGGAGCCCAGTTGACCTGTAGGTTTTTAGCGTTTGTGGCAAGAGCTTGGGGCCGGAGACTTCGATTGGGTTGGGGGCGACTTTTGCCGGGGAGGAGGGCTTGGGGTTTTGGGTGGGTAGTGGGATTTTAACAGGGCCCCCGAGTTCAAAGGCACAGCCTACAGGTCCTACACCCACTAAGCCTGCTAGACCCGAATCCCCAAGGCCTCCCGACCCATAAGCCCAGAAGCTTTAAACCTTAAGCCACATATAGACTGTGCAACGCAAATTGGTACCAAAGGTGATTCTTCTTAGTGAATACAGTATGCCCCAATGGCTTGGACCCGAAACCCAAACCCCAAAACGGCGCCAGAAGAACGAGGCTGGCCCCCATCAGATGTAGGAGCCAAGCATGTTCAGTTTTCAGTATTCGACGCATGTGATACTAGTCTACTGCCACAGCCAAGAGATGGTTGCTTGAACGTACTTTGCCTGTGTAGTTAGAGTAGCAGCGCAGTGTCAGGCGCCACGCCGCAAGCGGATCCGGCTCGTGTAAGGGCCACGGCCTCAGCATCGGCCCTCAATTCCCTTAGCCCAGGACTGCCGAGACTCCCAGATCCTTAAATCATTCGTGCACATGCAGCTCATAGGCCCGGCCAAACACCAGTGGCGCGCCAGACCCCAAAACCTAAACCCTTAGACATGAACCCTGTCAATTCTCGATCCGGTCGTTTCGGGAGTGTGATTGTTGTTCGGGGTGCCGCACGACCTGCATTAGAAAACGGTGAAGGCCAAGGTAGCTTGGTGAGTAACGCACCGCAGATCAATCCCGCAAATGCTCGCAGCTACGCTCAAAACACCATCGAGTCCAGCGCACACGATGTCTTCTGCAAAGTGCCATTCCTGCCGGGCGGGGGCTGTCTGCAACACGTCTCTGCTCCGAAGATTTTTGCGAAAAGTCTGCCAACGCCCCTGTCTCGAGGCCAGAAGTCGGCGATGCAGGATGCGTGCACGCACCCAGCCCCCCCATAGTATCCCCGCACGGTACCTCCCCGCAAACCTTGACCTTTAGCCCAAAACCCACCAATAACCAAAGCAGGGGGTGAAAGGGAAACCCGTAGCCTCAACCCTGAACCCAGCCCTAAACTTAAACCCAGCATGAACCACAGAAGGGAAGAGAGCAACCTGAAACCTTGGCCCGTAGGCCGGGGAGAGCCGACGCCCTAAACCTGCAGCTAAACCCTGAACCCGAAACTCTAGACTCTGACGTAGAGAAGGGGCCGTATCATCAGGTGGGTCCCTAGCACAACCAGAATTCAGGTTGGGCTACACATGCCCGGAGTGGATTGCATGCATTGTTTGCCAACGTGCAGAAAAAGAGCTTCGTGATGGGATGTGAGCAAGCATAGGTCCTTTCTAGCTTTTTTTCCAGCTCATTGCTCTGATCATCAGCGCCTCGTTGCGGAATGCACATCCTGCTTCTGGAGCCCGGAGTCGTGCAAGTGCCTTCGTGATGAGTTTAGCAAGTATGCAAGCCTTTCACACTGAATTGGACTGCGGCTCTCCAGGTGTCCAGACTGCAAGAACTTTCTACTGCAAGATTTTTCATGTGTCAGCAGATGCCGTGCTCTTCATCGTTTGAAATCGAAGGGACGGTCTTGGCTTGCTGCGGACCGGTTAAGATTCCTGCTATCCCAGGATCATGCGGTGCACATGCGTTGAATGGTTGAAATCAGGCTCAAGCAGGCGATAGCACATGTCGAGCAGCGGAGCCGCTGCAGAGGGTGTTTTCCAACCTCCTGTGGCTGCCCATCGAGTCCCAAGCACCTTCCGTTTCAAAATCACCCTTTTCATATATATCACATCCGGTATGGTGGGGCTGGACTTCTGCTGCTCGGGCGCCATGGCGCGGAAGATGCGGAAGTCAATGAGGCAGGTTTGAAGTTTGAGGAGTACTAGGTACTAATAATATCAAAGTTGCCATAGTATAAGAACAGGAGCGGCGGTGGTCAGCGTCGGAATAGCAATCGATCGCTATCATACAGTCGCACGGGCACCTCAGCGAAGTTGCATCGCCTGGAGCGTTGTCAGTTTCAGCGCAAATCGCACATGAAACCCAAGATTTGACACGTTTGACCAGTTTGGGGAGTGTAGCTTACTTGGAGGTTCAGGGGTAGTTACGCCAACGTCCACCCTTGATTTTCTTTTTGTAGACTTTGAAAACTTTGAGGACACACCATATGTATGTAACGCCAACGGCCACCCTTGATTTTCTGTATTTTT